CCCCCGGTCGAAGGTGGGCCAGCCCTGGGCAATCCCCCAGTTCTGGGGGGCGATGTCTCAAGAGGCACGTCCAATCGGGACGTTACCCACTCTGGGCCGTCCTCTCCAGGCTTGGCTCCTGAGAGGGACAGGCTGAGACATGGTGGATTGTCTGACAGCGTTATTCAGTCTATCCAGGCAGCTAGAGCAGGATCCACCACAGCCTGTTACAGGCCGAAGTGGCTGGGATTCCAGCGATGGTGTGAGGAGCGGAGAATATAGCCCCTATCTTGTGAGTTGGGCTCTATTTGATCCTTCTTACAGTTATTGGTGGACAGAGGGCTTGCTCTAAAGGTGTATGCAGCAGCCATCTCGTCCTGCCATGAGGGATTTGATGGCAGGTCAGCCTTTTCTCATCCACTGATGTTGCGGTTTTTACAGGGAGTCAGTAGTGCCTCCGCCCCGCAGTGGGACCTGCCGCTGGTGCTCGAGGCTCTGGTCACAGAACCATTTGAGCCTCTGGAGCTCTCCTCCCTGAAAGCACTGTCGTGGAAGACAGCATTGCTACTTGCCTTAACGTCAGCCAAAAGAGTGTCCGAGTTAACCGCTCTGTCGGTGCACCCGAGCTGTTTACTGATTCGGGGTGACCGGAGCGGGGCGACACTCAGACCCAAGAGCCGAAGGAGTGCGTTCAGGTCGAGGGCTATTCAGTTGGGGGATTTTAGTCTTCCACCCCATGGTGGGGCCAGGGAAGCTAAATTACACCTCCTCTGCCCGGTGCACGCGTTAGCATGTTATGTAGAGCGCACAGCTGCCCTTAGATGCACTGAACAGCTGTTTGTGTGCTTCGGGGGCGGGGTGACTGGAAAAGCTCTGTCCAAGAAACGCCTGGCAGGCTGGCTCTGCGGAGGCATTGCACACGCCTACGAACAGGCAGGGAGAGCCTGCCCCGAGGGGGTCCGTGCGCACTCCACACGAGCTGTGGCTGCGTCAACAGCTTTATTCAACGGTGTGAGTGTGGGGGATATATGCACGGCGGCGTCTTGGTCAACGTTTTATCTCTTGGATATGTCTGGCTCTTTCTCAGCGTCTGTGCTTGCTGGGGCAACACAGGATTGGTGAGGAGGGGGGGGGCTGTGGGTCAGTGGGCATCTGACCCCCTCCCCGGGCGTGAATGCGCTTACGTTTTCTCCAGGCCCATGGAGGGTCGCGGGGTGACGTAATGCGCTCTGGGCCCTTACAGGGCTGGAGGGCTCCCCTCGCCTGCCTGGGGGCAGGAGGGGGAGAGCCCTCCACACTATAGTCTGTACACACTCTGCACGGGGTCAGTGTCTGAGTGTGGGGACATGGGGGGGCACTTGCGCTCTCCCCGTGCTCCTTAGGGACTCAGGAGAGAGGGTGCATAGTGAACCCATACAGGGCTGCGGACTTTCTTTGTCTGCCTGTAGGCGGACGGGGGGGAGCCCTCAGCACTGTTTTTCGGGCACACTTTTTTGCGAGGTAAGCGCGGTAGAGTGTGCTCGGTCAGCCGCAGTCCAGACTTCTCCACGGTCACAACCGAGGGAGAGGTGAGTGAGGCGCAGCGGCTGCTAAAGCCGGTCAGGGACAGTGAGATGGAACGGTATGCTGAACGACAGTGCGTGCATACATCGGGCCTGTGAGAGATATAACGCCGGGTTACGTATTGTAACCCTTGTTATATTAACACAGGCGGAGCCCTCTACTCTGGGGCACTGTCTGTCCTATACCGCTCGCTGAAGAGTGGTGTAGGATGATGGTCAGGAGGCGAGGCCTCCTTTTATACGGAAGTGAGATGCGAGCGTCTATAGAAATCTCAGTAGTTGAATGCTTGCATGATAAAGTAGTACCCATAGAGACAGGGGCGGTGCCAGGGGGTAGCTTGGAGTTGCTATAGCAACTCCAACAATTGGCCTAGCAACGGCTTAGCAACCCCACTGTTTTGTTATGAAAATGTATCTATATATATTTATACACATTCTCGCGAGATCTATCAGGGGTCATTGTAAGTTAAAGCGCGAACTGTTATTTGGCTAATGTTGTTATAATGCTCAGTATGTGAACACAGATCGAAAATGGAAAGATTTCTCAAGTCAGCGTAAACGGCCGCGATCTCCAACGGACAACCCTGTGTGTGTGTGTGTGTGTGTGTTTGTGTGTGTGTCTGTCTGTTTGCGGTGTGGTGATGAGGTTAAATGCCACAGCATGCCAGTTGAAACAGTGAACGATCGCTATTGTGTACGCTTAGGGTGTAATGGTATTATACACAAATATTGTAGGAGCACGAAACAGTGTTCAAATTCTGCTTTTACAAACTTATTTTGGTTGTGCTTACCTTGCAAAGTAATGTTATAAGTGTCAAAGGAATGTTTTAATGTAAATATTAATGATAATATTGTAGCGTGTCCAAGTTAATAGTTATTTCAGTTATCAGATGTGCACAGTTTAGTACATTTGTAAAGTTATTTAGGCAATGTTGTTGGTGGGAGTTAGGGAGAGACCGCCCCTTCCAGGTGTGTGTGCGTTTTCCGGTGTGTGTGTGTGTAGGGAGTACGAGACGGTAGGAGTTGTGTTCGAGTGTGGGGAAAAGTCATAATGAGTGTTATACTATTGATTGGCTCTGTAAAGGCCCCTACACACCAGGCCGATATCGGCCGTCTTGCGTTGTTGGGCGAAAACGGGTTCCTTGTCGCCCAAAGTTAATTTGGTGTGTCCCGAACCCTCGGCCGTGACACGCCTTATTTGGCCTTTCACGATCGTCACCCGGCCGATTCAACATGTTGAATCGGCCGGGTGTTGGACACAAGCTATCGGGCCAAGAAACCACTCTGATCAGCTGTTCAGCTAGCAAATGAGAAGCGAAACGGAAGTGAGGGACGTAAACAAACGATTTAAATGTCCTCTCTTACCTTCCACACATAGCAGGGACATCTCTGATATCGGCGGGAGCGTCCCCGGCTGTCCTCTGCTGAGAGCTCCGTGATTTGTTTGGTCAAGTCCGGTTTTTCATCTCATCGTAAATTTAGCAAGAAGTGGCCATTATTACATTGCTGACTCAATAAACTACACACCCGCCAGAACACTGCGATCATCAGATGCAGGTCTATTAACTGTGATTTTATAGTATGTCTGCACTTTATGTGCTCATTTCATCATGCATGTATTTTTATATTCTAAAACATGTTTCGAACGGCACCCGCTATTTGTTTGTATATCAGTCTGTTCTTCTTCTCTGTCTTCCGGTTGTTGCCTATTTTGAATGACGAATACACACTACCGCCGCCTGCTGGTAAGGAGAGTTATTGCCACTCACGCATGCGCAGTTCGTACGTGCTCGGCTGTAGTAAAGCGGTGTATTTCAGTGCGACACACGGCCAATACGCAGGAGAACTCGTCGATGGATCTGTCGGTGTCGGATGTCGGCGAGTTCTCTCTGGTGACTGCCTGGTGTGTCAGGGCCTTAAGGCGTGGCTGTGGCCGTCAATACCATAAAATAAAGAGAACGTTTTCGACATTGAAGGCTCGTGATCTTGAATAGCGGTGAACGCTACAATATAAACAGGCTCGTGCTTGGCCCACTGGTATTGTTTATTTATTTTGAAAATTAACTAGCAACGCCGTGCTGTCATATAGCAACTGCTAAGCTACTGCAGCAAAAAAATCCTGGCACCGCCCATGCATAGAGACCAGTAGAGGGCTCCGCCTGTGTTAATATAACAAGGGTTACAATACGTAACCCGGCGTTTTTGTTGTCATATCATAATCAAGAAGTTATGCGACTGTAGTCTTTCACAAGTCAACTGTACAGTGGACAGACCATTGATGTATACAGAGGTACAGACATAGGTTCCCCTCTAGGTTCACTGTTTGCCTATAGGCCATAAAATAGCAACAACTAGTCCACATTTGTGCATCTAACGGAAAACTATTGTATCACTATTTTTACAAACCCACCTGAAAAGCAGCTTCAGACTTCGGCACTTAAAATGTCCCAGCTTACTGCAAAAACTTCAGCCATCTAGAATCAATAGCAGGCTATTCAGCTGTAGTATGTTGTAAAACACAATAAACAGATCAAGTGATGATGGTGTTTATCTGTAATAGGTGAGGGTTGTCCTTTCCAACAGGTACAGTAGGACCAGTGTGTGTGTGAGATGCATTTGCATAGTCTCAAATTTATAACAAGGCTACAGCTCGCGTCTGTTCATTTTACTACCTGCACACATGGACTAGTTTCATGGGATAACTTTGGTTTGATGCCATGAAGGTGGACAACTCCAACAGAAGAACACATTTGTAAATTCCTATAAGAAAGGTAGGTAGAAAAACTGACAAGAATAAGAGGGAACATATCTATTTACAAAAACACACATACACACAGTGGCTGAAAATGTAGTCTAATTCTCTCATGATGGGTCAGATTCCTCTCAGGGAGGAGCTTCCTGTCTCTCTGAGCCAATCAGGACGAGCAGAAACAGGTCAGGTAGCCAAAGAGGACCTCAGAGAGAGCGCAGGCAGGGCAGAGCAGCCACGCACGCCAGGAGGTAAGAGAGCACACACACATACACACTCACACCTTTAACTGTGAGATCACAGTTCCCCTCTGAGCTTGTAGATGTATCACTGTATAGCTTAGATATACCAGCGTGTGTATATGTGTGTGTGTTTCTGAGTTTTTGAGTGTCAGAGCAGAAATAGGCCAGGGCCATTTTAGTCACTGGTGTTTTAAAGATTCAAGTGTCAGGTTTTAATGAATATGCAGAAAGAAACATAGCATACATTTGTGAGTATCATCTACACTGACCGTTTGTGTTTGAGTGCTCCATGCTTTTATGTGCAATATGTGATTAAAGTGTGGTCTGCCAGTTAAATAGTTTCTCTCTTTTTAGCATTTGACTGTTACTGTAGTTAAAAAAATATATGCTTAAAGTTAAGATATCCAAGTGATGTTTGACAATGTTTTGGTCCGTCACTCAGCGTGCCCATGTGTGTCCAAGGGTGTGTGTGGATGGAAAGCAGGTCCCTTCTGTGTAACACTCTTCTATTTATAGTGAGAACAAATCCCAGATATGAGAGGAATCCTTCCACCACTTACGAGGCAGGGCGAGAGAGAAAAAGAGAGGGTGGAGAGAAGAGGATAGGAGAAAGAAAAAGACGGAGATGATAACACGTGTTTGAGAGATGGGTAGAAAATTGCTATTGAACAAGTGAGAAGTCCTACCCTTTCAAATCAAGCATTAGATAATACAGTATTGTGTCATCAATAGGTAAGTTATATGATTTGTTTTTGTGTAGGTGAGAGTGTGTGTTTGAGAATCATTGAGTATGGGAAACAAGGTTTATACTTTTGTTGTAATATTCTACTTGTAACAGTATTTTTTTAATTGGAAAAGTCCAGAAGTTTCCATATAATGCAATTGAGAAGTTGAAGTTGAACTCTTATCAAGGCTTTTGATTAAACAAAACACTGGATTATTTCCATTTGACTTTTTTTCTTAATCCATCTCCCAGTACTTTTGTACATTGCCTTTCCTGCCTGTGGCACTCAACTCCATTCTCAATGGTACCTACTGAAAATCTGTAAAAAGATTAGTATGAAGAACACAAAACAAACAGTCTCCAACCATGCTTTGTTTAGGACATACAGTAGTGCTTACAATGACAAGGTATCCTGTTATTTTAAGCAGATTAAATGTAGATTCCCCATTTTAGTTTAGCCTGGTAGTATGTTAACATTTGTAAATAAGTAGGTAAAACCTAAAACCTGTTGTGGCTGCAAGTGTTTTTAGATTAGTAAACCAGAGTAATTTCAACTAAAGTAAAGTAAAACTTTATTGGATCATAAATATTTGAAGTCGAATCCAACCAATACTTAAGATATTTCACAACCAAAAAAGTTAAGATCATGTTAGCCATTGTAAACTCACATCACCAGTCTTATTATTATTAATTAAGCAAAGGAAATAGACACATTTCTTAATAAATTCATTAGTTGTTCAGTTTATAGCTATAGAATTCTAAGTATTTGTTTACTTTTCATATACAGCTAGATAACACATTGAAACATGCTGTCACACTCACAACATCCAACATGCTGTACCTCAAAGAGCCTTTCTGTTAGGGGTCTGCACTGAGGTTTTAATAATTGAGGATTTAAATAATTCAAAGAATGATTGTACCTGAGTTTATGAGATTATGTGCAGGGTGTTAGTGTGCACATAGTCACACAGTATGGGTAAAAGTGAAAGGCTTGTGAGGATTTGGGGGGCATCAGGGGGCAGCTGCTACTCCCAGCCAATTTAAATATCATCGCAATGTGTAAGCACGCGTGTGTTAGTGGTAGTGTATTTTGGGGTGTCTCGGCTTTTGCTCTCATGTCAAGGACAGCAGAGCTTTTACTGTGTGTTGTTACACAAACAGCTCCCTGGCAACGGTAACTAAGGGGCTGCAATAGATCGCAGCAGCCGGAGAGCCTGGGACTTTCTTTGGTTCCCTGCTCTGCTCTGAGCCACTTAGTAGATAAGATAAATAGGCCATGGAAACTTTTACGATTAGGAAACACTTGATCTGAAAAAAAGTCTGAAAAGAAAATGGAAAGAAGTAGAAAAATCGATCAATTTTGTTTATTTGTAATTGTTGATTTTAGCAGTATCTTGTGCTTGATGATTGTTTGGTTCTGCCATTTTACTATTTCATATTGTCATAGAGGATAACAGTAACCTACAGAATTTAGACATTGCTGGTGATCTAAAATCATAGACTGTATATGTAAAACTCGCCACCGATGTCTGACTTTTTTTATGTTTCCAGCTAACTCATTGTGAAAGGAACATGTTCTTAAAAGGGTCTTAAATATCCACTTCGGGTTTAGGCTTTCACAGTTTTAAGTTAGTGATAGATTCTAGCTACAGTTAGATCACTAACCATTAACCTTGTCTTGTAATATGCTGTGATCTTTAACAACATTACACCAGAATGGGAGTTCATGTGGTTTTGTTGAGATTTGAATTGAATCCAGTGTGGTTAATAACCTATGAACCTGTGGCTGCTGCTCAGTAAAAGTTGACCAAATTAACATTTCCTTCTTCTCCTGCCATGTATTCTGTGCTCAATGCAAATGTTCTCACTCAAACACTTGCTGAAAGCAGTTTTATTTTGACATTCCCTGCTCTCTCCCTCTCATGAATGATTCAGAGAACAGTTCCTCTACCTGCTTCTCTCTGTAAGAGTCGCTAAGCAACTGAAATGTTATCCCGTCCCTTTAAAACCACAGAAACAGACTCTCAATGCCTGCAACACACACACACACACACACACACATACACATACACACATACACATACACGTATACACACACACACACAGCTGAATGTCTGTGATCTGTGCTTTCTCCAGGTCAGTGGACTTACCGGGGGGGATTATGTCCAAACCTTCGTCCAACGTTAAGGCCCTTCAGGTAAAATATTTGTGTGCACAATAAGGCGTAAATGTGTTTTTCCTGCATTGAAATGTAACTTTGTTTTATGACTTAAAAAGCATCATGTTTTACTTACAATTACACAACAAGAACACTAAGTTATTGCATTAAAGCTTCAACCAAATGGCACAATAACTCTCAAACTTGTTGAAAATAAAGTTTCCAGATTTAAGTATTTATTGGCAAAGGCAAGTACAGAGTTCAGACAGTGCATATTACAGTAGTATCAAGGCTTTATAAGTGCTGAGTTTTAGCGAGGCATAGGATGGAAAGTTGTCTGTATCACTGCGTGTGTAAAAAATGTCTGTATTTGAGATGTAATGGCTTTGTGCGTGCATGTGGGAGAGGGTTTCTTCCTTCTCTTCTCATTGTGCTCATTTTCATGTCTAACCATGGGATATGCATCTGGACAGGCGACTTTTAAACACTAGTACAGTACAAACATGAGGTTTCTTCGTCTCAGCACTCCACCATTAGTTCAAATTAATCACAAACAAAAACAACTGCACAGATTTACATTATAATAATTTTCATAAATATAACCCTTCGTCTTCAAAAGCTCTATATCTAGTTGTTTTTAAATCTATTTTATCTTTCACATATACAATATACCGCCTTTCCTACATTGATTCTCAATACAGCTATTTTGCATGTAATCCAAATGTCTTCAACAGGGGGTCAGAGTTACTGCGGAGGGGTATCAAATTATTGTTTGATAATATCATGAATACTCCGGATCCAAATGGCCTGAGCAGAACAAAACACTTGGCTGACTGGTTCCATAAATTCCCACTAAAAAGTTAAATCAATGTGAATTTTACTTTAGCTGACAAAGTTCCAATCAATAAATGGAATGAATCAGCTTGCTTTATAACGCTACTCAAGCACACCACAGGTGCTTAATAAAGCCTTTCATTGATTGGTCTGCTATCCAATGAGACGTTTCCATTCCTCTAAAAGCCAGCTTTAAATAAATGAGTTTAAAAATAAATATTGTTTATTTGACAAATATAGGCCAAGATGTATTTGTCGGATTGATCGGCATACAGCCTACAATCTCTATTCTTACCTCAGCCTTCTCCCATATTATTAACCTGTAGCCTATCATCTTTTTATTGATCCAAAAGGCAAGCAATAAAAGGTGCAATACACTTCCCAAATGTTTCCAGTGTGGATCATAAAGACTACACTGGAATTTCATGGTTTTTACTTTCCAATACATATATTTAACTAACATAGCCCTGGCTACATGTTGCACCTCAAAGTAGGATAACAGAGTAATCATTTGGATGGAAATAATAAATATGAAAAATATTATATATAAAATTCAGTGTTGAATGTAAATTAACTCAAGTAATAATTCTATAGGATTGAGATAGTTGATAAGATTCTCGTACATAAAGACTTAATGCAAGTGGAAACAGCTAGTGTAAAAGGGTTAGGGTTAGGTAAGTTATAACATATTATCATTTAGCTTTAAACGTGCTGTTAGATTTCCATCAATGTTAGGACATGGCTAGTCTAGCTGCTTTCCCAAACCTTTATGCTATGCTAAGCTAATTCTGGCCCTAGCTTCCACTATCAGACAGATATTAGAGTGATATCTTCTCATCTTGCTCTCTACAAGAAAGCAAATAAACTTGTTTTCATAAATGTCAAATTATGATTTTATATCCAATATAGGGTGAAACATTCTTTTAACCTTTAGTTGAAACGTCAGTAGATGATTGTTGACAGCTCGCTAAGCATAAGACAGTTAACAACCCCAGCCAAAGCCACTTTACAGAGATACAAATCTGAGCAAACGTGCTGCGGTTGAGGCGGTTTCTTCCAGGCTTTTAAACCTTATACTCTGGAAAAAAAGTAAAGCCCCTCGTCCTCAGTGACATAGACCACACTCACTCTCTGTACAGCTGTACAATATGAGAATATATACAATACAGTACATTACAGTACAATAAAAAACAAAAACACTTCAAAATCCAAGTGACAGGATACTAGGGACAGGCAGCAGTTTAACATCAAGTAAGCAGGCAAATCGCTGAGCTGTGTATGTGTGGTTTGCATGTGTTTGTGTGTGTGTGTTTGTTTTCTGTCACATTTTCATAAACACACAACGCCCTTTTTAGGGACATCATGATAACCAGGAAGTAGTGGCTATAATCAAAACAAGGGGTTTTGAGGAACAGCAGGTGTACACATACACACACATGCGGCGAAAGTAAATGTGTTTAAAGTGATCTCTCTGTCCGTCAGGCTAATTTGAACATCCCGATGGGAGCTCTGCGTCCAGGGGCGGGACATCCTGTCAAGAGGAGAGAGGAGACAGTAGACACAGAAGAGGTAAGAGAACACAGAGATTACACTCACACACAAACACAGGAAAGTGAAAGAAAACATTACCCAGTTGGAATAAAAGAAAATGTCACAATTTAGCTTTTGTCTGGGAACGACACATACATTTCCTTAATTGTGGTCATCTTATTATCTATTTTTCATCTTACCCAAGTAACATAATATAATATGACATATAAGTAGTCTGAGTGGAGTATTTTTGTATTGCATTAACCTACAAAACACACTTCCAAATGTGTCCATGTGCTACTGCTTTATTTTCATCAACGTTACTCACAGCTCTCTTTGGGATAAATGGGAGGCACAATGCTGCCATACACACACAGATAACAGGAATTGTGATGAAGTTAAGAATAAATATATTCTAACATTTGAGACTCAAAACCAGTTAAATTTTTTTTAATGTGATGCCTATTTACAAACAAAAAAACGTAAAACCTTAGGTGGTGAGGGTCTGAGATGGTGGTTAAAACCATTTTGCTAACTTAGGCTGGTAATTATCAAAAGGGTTCAACTGTAAAAGAAACACTTTTGAAAGGATTGCTACATTTAGCTTAAGCTAAGGCTTGCTGCAACTACTGTATCTCACCAACTATTTGGAGGTTTGCCTTTAGGCTCTGTTATTTTGCAGACTTAACATCATATGTTATCTCAAATTAAACACTTCTAGGGCATATTATTTTTCACAAGGTAAAACACATTCCTATAAAACAAATCTCTTTCAAAATAAGAGTGTAATGTTGACAGTTAATAAAAAGGTACATAAGACAATTGTCATACCATCTTCGTGGTAATGTTAAACGCTAAAACTACTGTTTTAATAAAGAAACTGAGCGTTTTGAATTTTGAAGAACTAATCAGAATCAGAATCAGAATCAAGTTTATTGCCAGGTACGTTTACACATACAAGGAATTTGCTTTGGTATCTGGTCGTGCGAACATAAACAATTAAAAAAAATAAGTTGCAAAGTAGGTACAAAAAATAATATATAAGGATAATACAAAATAAGTATTATTAAGAAACAATAAAAAATGGATGCTAAAGTATTTACACCAAATTGAAATCTAACTATACAAATAACTTAAAAGCTTAAAGACAAAAACACTTAGGACAATGAGTATATATGGAAAACTACAGTGTATTATATTATAAAGTGGAGGGCTGTGCAGACATGTGTGCAAAAATGTGCAAAAAGCAGTCCGATCGAATCATCATCTTCCAAAAGAATAACAGTATTGATAATAATACTTCTGCTTATTTATTTATTTTATCCATAGGCTCCTTTACCAGAGCAGCCCAGGGCTGCACCCCCCACACCGGAGGAGAAGAAGGCGATGCCGGGCGCCGTGAAACTGCCCGGGCCTGCTGTTAACCTATCAGAGCTGCAGAATGTCAAGAGTGAACTACGATGGGTCACCAAGGAATAACATGTAGGTGGCAACCATATCAACAACCCCAAACCCTAAATGTACTCATTGCTTTCTATGTTTCATGTTCAGATTATAATAATAACATCATATTTATACATTTGAATATGTTTTTTTTCTCCTGACCTCAATCAAACCAGATAGGTTGTTATAGTAAAATATTTGTTTTAAAAGACTCCATGATCAATAATCTAAATAGGGTTTTGGGAGTTATACAGAAACTAAATAAGTCAATTGCAGCCCAAAAACTCAAGTCAAGATTTTGGTACATATTTAAGTAAATTTAAATGCAGGACACAAGAGGGATCTTGTACTATATTACACTGTGAGAACTTAATTATCCAGTATAAATTAATTTATAAAGAAAAATAATTAGAAGGTCATTTAAAAATGATCTACCCTAAACCAAAAAACTGCAAAGTATTTCATTGTTATCGCTACATTTTTTCTTTCCAGCGCAACCAAAATGAAAAAACTAAAAACAAAACAAATCTATTCAGTAATAAAAATAATTGCAAATCTTCTTCCCTCGTACTTAAAGGTGGGGTAGGTAATTTTGGAGAAACCAGCTCGAGTGCGCTAGAATTTGAAAATACACAGCCGGAAAAAATCTGCCACTTCCTTACAGAGCCCCTCCTCCAACACACACAAATGCGCACATGACCAATGAGGGCACGAGATAAGTTTGTGCACAGATGGAAGGCTGACAGGCAGGTAGGCCATCCAGTTACTTTAGCCGGGCCGGCTAAAATGATTGGTCGTGCTTTTTACAGTACTACGGCTTCCACAGATGACATTTTTTAATGGATTTTTTGTCAAAGCACTTAAGATATTCATTGCTATCGGGATCTTAAGAGCATTCCATGGAATATAACAAAAAATGTATCTCGAGCCGGTTTCTCAAACTTACCTACCTACTTTAAACAAAGCTACCCAATGAGTATTTTATTGGTAATCTTTATAGAATGAACAGTATTTAGTTCTTAGTCTTAAGCCTTTAGGTTTAACATCTATTTTCTAGTTTAAGCCTTCTGTAGTAGTGGATATGGTAGAGTAAAGATGAAACATTTAAATCCAAAATAGTGTTGTATATATCTTTTTGAAAATTAAGATAGACAACATAGACAACAAGACTTTCAGGGAATGTTGTGTCATTTGTGCATCTGTTGATATTATTATTTGGAAACACAATTTTTCCTACTGATCACTCACAGTAGAAGCTTACTTGCAAATATTTGACACAGCTCTTTTGTGCAGTAGTCAGAACGAAAGAGACAAATGCAAATCATAAACACACGAAAGTGAAAAAGCACTATAGTGAGTTCACAAACTCAGTAACCCAGTCTTTGTGAATTATGCAAATCCAATCCCTGAAAAGTTGAATGACTATCTAACTAGAAATACAGGTTTTCATATCCTGGAGTCCTACAGTAGATACTTTTTTATCACCCGAAACTTGTGAGAAATGCTGTCCCAATCAGTCAAAGCCAAAATAATATTTATGTTATTGTCATTCAAAACAAGGAAATGCATCCTATCCTCATATTTGAGAAGCTTAAGATATTTAATTAAACATTTATAAATTACAAAAGGTCTATATATTCATTTGCAGATTATTGTTTCACCCATATAATTTCATAAAAATCCTGGACAAATTAAATAACTATCTGTTCGTTTAATATTATATGTCCATAAGTATATATTGAATCTTGGTACAATACAGAATGTTCTTTTACATCTGCATATTAGGTGAAACAAAAATATGTTTTTTACATCTTATATGAGGAAAATGTAGCTTCAAGCAGGAAATATTGGTATATCATTATTACCCAACAAGAAACGAAACTGCTGAACACGATGCCATTACGTCTTTGTAACAGAAAAACTACTTGCAGTGGTTGAATTCGCCACAAGGGGGGCACTGTGGGCTGCACAGTCTTTGTTTGGGTCAAGAGGCGTGTGTGTTTATGCCTCTTTGTGTGGGCAGGAGGGTTTGAGTCAGGCTCTATTTTGAAACCTTTTAGAAGTGTGTGTGTGTTTTTTGAAAATGTGTGTGAGCACTGAGGGGCAGTCTGTTCTGTGACTTTCTCAGCGGGACACAGAAACCACAATATCCAAACACTTTCTGCCCAAACTATGTGGGTGTGCTGTGTAGGAGATACATGAGAATGTGGTTCAAGTTATATTAGTAATTAACATGTTTTCCAGAGGCAGAAAAACAATACTACATGCTATTTCTGAGTAGGTAAACACCAAAAAAGTTATAAAACTACCCAGAAAAACAGGAACACTTAATCCGCCTGGCTTTGAATGTGTATTTGATGGAGACAAACAAACCATCAGCAACCAAAGGAAAGCAGATAATTAAGTGTTACAAATCAGGAACAACTTTACATTTCTAAGTAGCAGTTTGATCAATCCATGTCTTATATACAACATGGCCAAAAGTATGCTGACACCCTAGCATTACACCTGCATGAACATATCCTCCCCAAACCATGTTGGCATTAAGAGATGCTACTTCTTCGACTCTATTGATTCCAGGACTTTCAACCAGATTTTGGACCCAGGCAGCAGATTTGTTCCCATTCATCCACAAGAGCATTAGTGTGGATTTGTCTGATGTTGGCTGATAGTTGTGCCAAACACAAACACAATGTTAATACCAAACTGTTTAAAGTAACATTCTAAGTTGTAGTAAAACATCTTCTTTAGATTGAAGTGGTCTTAGTAAAGTTTGTTAACAGGGGTGCCAACTTCATTTTAGCAACATAATATATCCCTGTGAGAACTAAAAGTACATTTATTTCATGTCTCTAGACTGCATCATAAGTAGCTAACATTAGAACAATAAAACCAGATTTCTTATGGAAAACTGATATAAAATATTTGTATAAAAGAGCAAGTAATTTCTCGATTAATAATGAATGAGATTGAAAACCTTTTTTACATAGCTTGAAGCTGGCATAACCATTTCAACTTTAAAGATAAAGCATAGCTAACTACCATGATTTAGCATTAACGCATGAAATGCAACATTTAAAGCTACCAACGAAAGTCCCAGGCTTTTATTGTATTAACTCTCAGCCTCTTGTATTTATTCACTATGCTCTAGTGTAACATTACATAACTAGCAAAAATGTAGCTACTTGACTCTATCCACTGGTGTTAAACTTGAAACGTGAATACCAGCACTGAGAAGTCTTGTATGAAATTGAAATAAACAGAAAATGTTTCAGATGGTAAGGGGAGATCAAGAAAGAGGAAAACAGAAATCAAAAAAGGTCAAGAGATAGATAAGTGCAGACAGAAAAAACAGCTGATAGATCAACCAGATCTTATATCAGGCTGAATCACTGAAACCTGGCACCACCCTTGTCATCCTTGCTTTTCACTGTCTATCACGGGTCAGCAGCTCTGAGACCCCGTGAATCCCAGACAGAAAAAACCTCACACTCTTTTTATCTGTCTTTCCTCCAGGATCCCCAAACAGGCGAAGGCGAAGGAGAGATAATCTTCATAAACAGACTCGCCCACTGCCACTGAAGACTGAGCAAATTACTATCTAATCCCAACATGTTCGAACAATAACAGCTTTTGAGAAGCCAATGGCTGCAGAAAATGTTCAGCGTTTAATCAAAACCACCACCACGCAATCATCCATTACCTCTTCTATCAGTCCTCTAAAGGTTAAAGCACTGCAAAAATATTTATCTTACCATGTCAGATAGTTGTGTCACTACTGTAAATTCAAACTTGAATCATAGTTTGTACAAAAGTTAATGTGATAAAGCAAGATATTCTGGATTGCTTTTGCTGCAGATAAGGCTCAACCTAACTCAGACTTTAAGTAAGTGAGTTTTTGTTCAGAATAATTCTTTCTTTTTAAAATTGTTTTGAGTGTTTTAAGTCTAAAGTAGCTGGCTTAGAAGGACCTTTGTTGACATTTGTTGTACATTTAAGGAATCTACTTGACAAAAACCAAACTGTGATTCCCCTTCTTTATGATGACACTTATTTTCCATACTGTCAAAACTCCAAACTATTCAGCACTGATTCATTGTGAGAATTTCAATTATATTATAATTTCTAAATGTTTAACAATTTGAAATGATGCGATGGGAGTTAAGTTCAACTGTACTGTTTTTAGGGAGGGGGATTTTAATCTTTTACTTGTTCTATTGTTATGATTCCCAAAAACTGGTATCTTTGTGAAAATGTTACAATAAAACAATATGGTTCTAAATATCCAATGTTATGTTCATTACTATATCTACTATTACAGTAAAGGAGAATAGTGGTTTGATATTTTATATGTTTTTGATTTGCTCTAATCATTATGAAATACTTGCTTTATCTAATTAACATTTTGTAACATCTGCCTCTACAGGTGGCCGTGTTGATTCCTTTATTGCATCACTTTGTGCACACTAATATACAACTATTGGATATTGCCCAACATTTGAAGACAAATATAAAAGTTTCGTTAAGGAAAAATTAAACACACTTTTAATTAATCCCCAAACTTTTGGCATAACCAGCAGCACCATTAATTTGTTTACTTATTTAGTAAAACGTTCCAATTACGCGTTCATATATTTAAAAATCTATAAAATGTATTGCTACTAAATGATGTGCCATTATGCGTGTATAGTTACATTGTTGAAACGTTTTTGACATCTGTACCATCTAACAAAGACACCACAAATAAGGCGAAAGGACATGTTTAAAGGGGATTATTTTGTTTGCTTCCTTCTTTCCCGTAGGTGTCAGGAGATTGACAGTTAACACAGTGTGACACAATGCATCCATTCATGAAAAAAATATCCATCATAATTACCATGAACAAGAGGAAATTAAAACCTCACGTTTACTGTGATGAAAAATGATGCCCGAAGAGTCATCATATTTCCCACTGTAATATTCTTGTTTTATGTGCATATGTAATAGGTATTACAGGATATCAGGTGGGAGTCAGGGGTGTCTTTGATGAAAAATGATGCCCGAAGAGTCATCATATTTCCCACTGTAATATTCTTGTTTTATGTGCATATGTAATAGGTATTACAGGATATCAGGTGGGAGTCAGGGGTGTCTTTGTGCATGGAGTCACTTTGATCCCCAGTTAAACCTTCAAATCCAACAGTTTCAATACGGATTTGTGTATTAACGGCGCACCCACATGCCATCATACACACCACCAGACTCCATTACATCAGATATCCACCATCACATCACATGTTCAAACAGACAAACACACAGAGCAGCTGTACTGTGGCTAAGTTTAGCATCCATCAGGTCATGATGGAGAGAGAAATACTGCGAGTGTATTAACAACCATACAGGAGCATTGGACATGTGTGTGGGAATGATGTAAATACTTGGCAGTTTCAAAAAGGGTAAATCTGCTTTTTTTGCCAGTAGACTGTGTTCTGAATTTTAAACTGGTGTAACCTTTCCTTAAAACAAATAAATACTCATCTGTAAATGTGAGCCAACATTATTTCAGAGACCATAACTCAATACAAAATGTATGAAATTGTAACCATGTATCGGACTGACAGTATAATCCCACAGTAGCTCAACATCAATCAGCTGATCATAAATGCTACTAGCTTGATATTGAAACTTGGTTATCACTGCCACTACATCTGCATAAAAATAATAGCATGACATCAATCTGCATCATTTTATAGCAGTACAGGTCATAGGAAGTTTAAATTCCTACCATAAAGTCACGGCTTACTCTAACACCAAATGTTGAATGCTTCTTTTGACACTTGTAAAATGTTTTGACAGCTTGGCAAAACTTCCTGTGTCCAGTGTCTGTGTTTCTATTCCTGTAGCCTAGCGATGAGTGCACAGATAGGTGCCGTGGCAACCGTGCCCTGGAATCTTGGTTTGCAGACTATAGCAGCTGTATTCACCGATGAGTTCATCCACTGGGATAGTCACTAAAAGCCTGCCAGGCTCCCTGTGTGTATGTGCGTGTGTGTTCATCGATGCATCTGCTTGCCCAATCGGTGTGTATGTTGGATGCATGTATTTGGGTGATACTCCCTCCCGGACACAGAGGAAAGGGCAGCGGACAAATACAAAGCCACCAGAGCTGGGACATCAAAGAGGAGACAGAAGGACATGGGACGGAACAAGTTGCAAGGGCCAAAAGAGGATTGTGTTTACGATTGTAGAGGAGAGTTTTTAAACGTCCTATCATGGTATCATATACCCGCCGCAGCAGACAGAGCAGGACAAAATCACAGATGAAGAGACCTCGTCTAAGGACATGCACTTTACACTCGTTTCCTCTCAGCTCTCTTGTCTTTTCTCATCATTTCCTGTTCCTTGCTTTCAACAACCTCTTAGGCGGTTCTGCTAGAAATGTCAGATTTTCTTTCTGTCAAACCTTTTTTAGTGCTGCTTTTGGGCTACATATTTTTTGATAACACTCATCAATGTCCTTACTACCCTCTCACTCCTGCTACCTTCTGACAAAGCTTTTTATTTGCAACCAGCCCTCCTTTTGATCCTATTTGAATATTTCCCTCTAATTCTCTTATCGTTTCAATTCTTATCTTTTGGATGGATAGCTACTCCCTCCTCTACAGTTCCTCCCACAGAACCGGACTTCTTTCTGGTTTCCAACGCCTGCGCGCTCAGACAAACATGTGTGATGTTGTCCTTGAGGCTGGGGGTGTATGTTTCCCTTGTCATCGTGCCCTTTTGGCCAGCTCCAGTGAGTATTTTTGGGCTCTGTTCGGAGAGACTACCTTAGAGAGATTAGCGGGATCTGTTAGCCTCCCGGCAATAACACCTAAGGGTTTAGACGCCATTTTGGACTTCTTGTATTCTGGCTGGCTCAAAATATCAACACTGTCACTTCCTGATGTCTTGGAAGCAGCCAGGTACTTGCAGGTGGAGACAGCCGTGTCTATATGCGAGCATTTTATGACTGATGGTTTGAGCCCTTTGAATTGCTGCTGCTACGCTAACCTGGCCGAGCATCACTCCCTCCCAGATGCATTTGAAGCTGCCAATCAAACCATCGCTATAGAGATGAGGACATTGCTCCAGGAAAGCAGGGATGACCTTCTCAGGCTGAATATCCAATCACTGATGGCTGTGCTTGAAGCAGACGAGATACCTGGTGTCAAAGAACAGGAGCTCATAAAGCTTGCTTTGGATTGGCTGGATATGAATGGGCCCCTCCCTTTGCTGAAATCAAATCTTCTGCTGAGTCATCTGCGCTTTGGATTGGTAGCCCCCTCTGACCTCACCAGTCTTAGCCACACCCACAAAGCCATGGCCACACCTCTTGTCAGAAGTCAGCTTACTCGAGCATTGGAGTACCACAGGATGGGTTCAGCTCAGCCAATCAGACAAAGCAAACAGTCGACACTCAGAGCTTCGCCCAATTGTGTGCTGCTTGTGGGTGGAGGATCCAGCCCTGATTGGCCGGAACAGCAGATGCTGAAGTTTGATCCTAGAAGAAGGAAGTTTTCATCTCTGAGTTCCAGTCTCCCGCTCCGACTGAGAAATCACTGCGTGTGCTCAGTGGGAGGTTTCCTTTTCGTGATTGGAGGAGAGGAAGTGAAAGAGGGAGATGAGAATGGGAAAAAGTCTGTCATCGTGTCAACATCCAACCAGGTGTGGCGCTATGATACCCGCTTTGACTGCTGGGAGACAGTAGAGTCCATGAGGGAGAGGAGGGAGAAGTTCACCTGCTGCGTTGTGGAGGATGCTATTTATGTAATCGGGGGACGACACACACAACCAGAAGACAACACACACACCTCTGTAGCTTCTGTTGAGTTTTACGACATGGCAACAGGAACATGGAGAAGAGGAGCAACTTTGCCTTGTCCCCTTTACGGGCACGCTTCTGCTGTGCTTAATAACGGCATCTACGTGTCAGGTGGTCTGCCAGGCAACCAGGACGGTAGTAACCATGGTGATTACCAGGATGAACAAAGAGAGAGCAGCAGAGAAGTACTGTTCTGGGACCTCAAGGGAAGAGTCTGGGAGAAGCGAGCGTCAATGTCCATCGCCAGGTTCAGTCACCGTCTAGCAACCGCCCAAGGCCAAATCTACGCCTTGTTGGGAATGTACGAGCCTTTCTGCGATATTGAAAAATATGATTCACAGGTGGACAACTGGACCCGCCTCCGACCACTTCTCATTGGCTCCTTCAACTACGGGATGGTGTCAATGATGTCTGGGAATCTGCTGGTGTTTGGTGGAAGGAGATGGAGTGATGGACGAGAGGTGATTGTAAAAAGTGTGTTGGAGTACGATACGAAGAAAGATCGTTGGAGAGAGATCAGCCAACTCCCAAAACCTCTCACTGGGACTGAGTGCACACTGCTGCCGCTACCAGACTAAAGAGTGCATAATATATTTTAACATGAAAGTGAGACAATTTTCACTAATAGCAGAATGGTCTCAAAATTATGAAAACTGAGCACACATGATAACTTTTAAGGAAACTAAAACAATTTTGTTTCAGACATGAAATCAATGTCCTGCCTAAATAGACGAGAACAGATGTCAATTATTCCAGGATATTTAGGAACATTTTTAAAACAAGTACATTTCAAAATATATTTATATTTTTTCTTAACTTACTCTTTTACTTATTATTTCTTTTTATGAATTTGATGGGAAGCCAGATACTGTTGTAGACTGTTAATCATGAAGCTAACGTTAGCTTAACATCATTAGCTGAGCATTATTTGTACTCTTTGGTTTTTGTATGGATTATACATATCACTACAATTTGAGTTTTAGAGGAGCTTGTAGGCAGATTGTGTTTATGTTTCACTTTGACAAAACAAGCCAGGCTAGCTTTTCTTCCTTCGTACCACATTTATGCTAACCTACCTTAGTCTATGAATATTGATTGAAGTGTCATATTGGTCTGTCAAATTTGAAACTCGATGGGGACACATTGGTTTACCATAAAGGCTGTGTTTATTTGTGAGTTCTAAAGGAACATTTGGACAGAGCTAGGTTATCCGTTTCCTTCTGCATCAAGTGTTGATCTATGCTAAGCTGAGCTACTCTAATATACTACAAGATTGTTGAAAATATGTCATTCACATTTTAAATTAAATAAAAAAAAAGGGGAACGATTTTGGTTTCATGTATTTTGATGGTGTTCAATTGCTCTACTAAAGCACAGTCCAGGCGACCAATTAAATGGTGTACTCAATAGTAACTTTGTAATAATTGAGTGGATTTTCACCCAG